CAAAAACAAACCACAAAAACACACACACACAAAACAAAACCAAAAGAAAATAAAACAACAAAAAACCCCAGAGCCCTTCACTGTATAAAAATAAGAGCAATTAAAATTCGTATTCTGTTCTGGAATCAAAGGACATGGAGCTGTGACCAAAGCACCCTTTATTTCTTGTTTTCCAATAGACTTTCTCTTAAACACTTTTGGTTTGCTTCTGTGAAAGCAAAGTAATTACTGTTTAACAGCGTTGTTGTTTCACTGTAATTGCAAATGCCAGACAAACCATAACAGCTAAGGCAACCACAACGATTACAAGAACCTGCATCTCCCGCAGATTTGTCTAATGACACAATCTGAGTACAGCTACAGCATAATTAGAGGATTCTGCCCACTACTAGAAGGCTGAGACTTAAGTTGTCTTTAAGAAGGCAATTAGAAGATCAAAAATGCAACATATAGTAAGTAACAGACCTAAATAACATGCCTGGATACCATGTTTGCCTTGTGTCCTTTTAAACACTTGTTTGGCTCATCAACCATTTAAAGAAAATATTGATCTAGCTGGGATGGCTTCATGTATTTCAGAATAAAAGCAAAAAATTGTTATGTGCTGAACAAGAATTAGGAGTGCAAGGTTTGGGGGACTATAAGAGTTTAATTCTCACTGAGACAATGTTGCCACATAGAATTACTTTTTCATGTGCCTGATCACTCATATCTAACACAGAAAAAAACCCCAATCTTCTCTCACAGATGGTCACAAAACCATATGTCAAACTACCTTGACCTTATGATTTGCATTTGCTTAGTGAACTCTGGCCTTTACAAAAAAAGTGAAAAGGAGATAATACTGAGAGACCTCTAGTTCTGCAGGTCATGAATAATATTTGAGTATCTGGTCATTTATACACTGGCAAATACCTTTTTAGAGGACTGGAGGTCTCTGAAGCTTAAGCCAATTGTACATCCTTCTGTGTACATCTGCAACTAGAGAAGTGACATTTCCTCCAGTTCCTCCTCTTTATTAGAGACTATTTTCAAGCTAAAAGAAAAAACCCTCACTTACCATGCCATAATTTTCCATACAAGTTCCACAGATATGTCACCATTTGCTGCCTTCTGTCCCACAGTTCGTTGGAATAATGTCCTTTCAAGCCATCCTTTCTCTTGTAAATGTGAAGCAAAAGACTGAAAGGGTACAGAACACCAGGCAGAAAAACTTCAGGTACAAGAGCATTATAACTGGCATTTGGATCAGCCAGAACCAGGGCACACATTGCAGAAAGTCATCCAGATACTTCAGCTGACTCAATTCTTCCGATACATAAATTGCAGAGATTAGAGATTCTCATGTATGGCATTCAGGTCTACATATCCCTTCCTGCTACGAGAGAATACAGTACACCGAGTTAAACACAAGTATTTCTCTCAGCTTATCCACTACAGAAAAATGATAGAATTATTTGGCTTTTGTAACATGTAACTTAGAAAATTTTACTGTTTAAATACTGTTCTTAATCTTATCATCTGTTTATAAATGAAGACATTGATAAATGACTTGGTTTTTTATTATATTCAGATACCTTTATAATCCTATAATTTCCTCCAAGAAAACAGTGAAGATTCTTCTGTGTAAGTTCTTACATGAACATATAATAAACCCCAGCTTCACTCAGAAATATTTCTCCAGGACTTCTCATACATGGTAAAGGAAATGTGCATGTAAGCTGGAGCTCAGAATTACGTGAGCAAGTAAGAGAATATCTTCTATGTTACACACATTGCATAAAATCTTGTCTGCTGAAAAATCACACTCCAACAAGTGCGCTGCCCTCCCTAGGTCACACCTATCAGCGCAGTTGTGGTCCAAAGGGGATACTGCTACTATGGTATGGTACAACTAGAAAAAGGTCAGAAAAGAGTAAGGAGGAAAACCAGAGGTATAGACTTGCTCCCAGAGAAGGAACATTGAATATGCCAGGGCTTGTCAACTTGGAAAAGAGAGAGATTATAAGGAAGATGACTGACAGCTATAAAATCCAGCAGCACATCAGCTGAGTATGGATCAATTGCTCACTTACTCTTCCAATAAGGGAAGCATCACTTGAAGCTGGGAGAAGCCACGTTCAAAATGAAAAAGGTGACTTCTCATGCAACAGCTGATAGACCTGTGCGATTCACTGCTAGATGATGGGTCCAGGGGAAGACTGGACAAGTATGATGAGGAGAAATCTACTGTCTTACTAAACAGGCAGAAACCATATACCATCAGCTGCAGATGGCTAGGGAATGGAGGAGTATTAGGAGGCATTCCCACATATGCCTAGCTGTACCTGCTGGTGGCTGCTCCTGGGGGCTGCAGGGTATCAGGCTTGGATTTTATAAAAGAACAGCCATCTTGTTCTTGTACAAAAGCCTTCTCTGCATTTCACTTGAACTGTAGTATTGTTTCCTTAAGCGGAGGAGTATAATAATTCTCAAAATATTTTGCAATTCACAGTTCAACTTTTATACACTCAGCATTTGGCTGTTGCTAAACAATTTGTGTTGAAAGATTTTTATTTTATTGCATTTTCAGTTTCAAAATACGAAGGTGATGTAGCACCCTAATTGCAGATGCAGTTATATCCATACGAGTGCTAGAACTAGTGTAATTTTTCCCTGTATTTCTCAAGTATTTAATTACTGTAGCAACAGATATATAAAAGTCCTGAATAATGGTGGCATTTAATATTTTTTGTTATATCCGACGTAAGATGGTGCGTGATTCAGGTTACAATTAATTTTTAAAATTTTTTTTGTAAGCAGATGGAATTTGTTGTTGGACAGTAGTTGTGCTACTGTCACCTGAACAGTCAGTCCTTCTGCCTCCAAACTCCCCTTTGCATATTTCCTACCTGAAACTTCTTAAAAATCCTGAGGACATCTTGCATTCTCATGAGGCTGTATAGCCTTGTTGCCCAAAACGTATTGATGCAAACGGAATGAGACAGCATAGCAGACAAACTGCACAGCACATCAGGTGTTGAATGCAGCTAACGTAAAGCCCGGTATCCCAGCTTGTCAGAAGCAAACACCTTGCAGAGGGCCTAAAAGCAGGGCAGGCGTGTACGATGCACTTCTTTCTAATACTCTCCCAGCGTCCAGTAGGCAGGCTAGCGGGTAAGAAGAGATCACAAAGTCCATAATTATTATCTGAGAAATCCTGTCCCAGTGATGTCTAGGAAGGCTTTGTAATGGTCTTCGGAGAGACCTGGACTTCATGCATTTTACAGATAAGCTGTGAATAACCTAACTAGAGCTGAACAGTCCATCACTCCGTGTTTTACGTAGGAAATCTCTCAAATCACGTGCAACACCATACAAAGTCTCTGCAACAGAGGCTAAGGATAAAGTCTAGTTCTACAGGGCGGCATCCCGTGCTCTGCTCAGCATCGTACCTTCCCTCCTCTCCTACTACCAACCTGCTATTCTCAACGCTCTCCAACTCTCGCAGCGGGTCAGCAGCCCTCCCAAATAAAACCGCCTCTTGCACTCCACGAGGATGTTTCCCCAGGCCATGCCTGGTCCCGTGCCTGAAGCAGGACCCCACGGGGAAGACGTCTGCGAGCAAAACACCGTTCCCCGTCTCACTGTCCCGTACCACTCCCTGCTGCTTCCCAAGGCCGTCCCGGCCCCCCGCCCCCAG